ATAGAAAGATTTTTCACAGAGGAAGATATTAGGATGGCCAACAGACACAAGAAGAAATGCTCAAAATTACTGTCAATAAGTGAGATGCAAATCAAAAGCACAATGAGATACCATATCACCCCAGTAGCAGTGGCAAAGTTTTAAAAGATAGCAAGTAATAAATGTTGGACAGGATGTAGAGAGATAGGACACTCATACACTGAGGGTCAGCCTGTAAAATGGTACAACTCTGGAAGGCAGTTTGGCATTTTCTCAAAAAGCTAAATATAGAAATTCCTTATGACCCAGCTATTCCACTGCTTGGAATATACCCTGGGAAAATGAGAACTGATCGTGAGAACATGGAAACAGTTCAAACGTCCAACCAAAACACAAGTGAATGAACTGAGAAATTATGATGGAATACTACACAGCACGCAGGAGCAATGATTTTGTACATTACTGCCTAACTTGAGAGGGACTGGAGAGCATTATGCTAAGTGAACTAACTCTGTCCCATAAAGACAAATATTGTATAAGACCGTTATTGTAGAAATAGAAAGATAACTAGTAAAACAAATGTAATGAGGAGGAGCCAGGTGAGGGAGGGTAGGAGTAGAGGAGTGAGAACAGGCACTGGGGGTTAATCATATGATCACACAATTTGATTGGTAGAGGGAGGGGTGGGTAAAAGAAATGAGAAAGATCTGGTTTGAAAAACAATGTATACAAACTTTGCAAGCAAACCAGTATAAAACAAAACAAAACATGCTAAAAAAAAAAGTGTTCTAGAATGCTGAAGAAATAAAGAGAACTAAAATCTATAGTGTAAAAATAATTATTGTGACATAGACCTCACCCTTCCAGTCCAAGAACCCAAGCCTCTTCCTGGGAATCAAGTGGCTGGAATCCTCTTGATAAGTGCACACCACTTCCTTTCTCTGTACATTTATATCATTAAATTGTTTCACTTTATTCATGAAAAGCAAATTCTATAATGGCTTAAAATCTTAAACACATATATTTTGAACTAGTGTAGTCTGTCCATTCATGTGTTGAAGTTTAACAACTTCCTGTTTTTCCTATTCTGGGAAACACCACCCCCACACACAAGCAGTTGTGGACCATCAAATCAGAAACATGCTATAGATTTAGATGTCTATCAAACTTGAAGTCACCCTTTCTTGTTCTCTCCACTGAGGCTTCCTGCTTTCTCATGGCATTTCCCCCTTGTAAGCACCCATTCCAAGGGCTCTCTCTATCAGGTTACTGCATTAACTGCCAAAGCAAACTCAGAATTCCAGATGGGTGATCAATGGTTAAGGAAACACCTCTTCCTAAATGATCCCTTGATCCTTCAAAGTCCATTTGTCCTAAACATATCTTCCATCAGTTCTCATCTTCATTTAACAATCAGAGCTAGAAACTGTACTTCTTTGAAAACTGTGCTATATGCCTCCGAGGCTTTGAACAAATTTATTTTTTAATAAATTTTTCTTTTTATTCTACCAACTAAACTCTTATTTGCTCCTCAGCATGCAGTCTGAATGTCACTTCCTTCTTCTGTTTTGTCCTTATGCCACCTTCTCTGTCAAAGCCGATGAGAAGTTGAGTCACTCCTCTTTGTCAGTATTCTAAGTATTTACATGTTCTCATTCTTCCTAGACTATTAACAACACAAATGGACCATGCCTGTTCATTTTTGCATTTTCAGCACTTAGCCAAGCAAAGGAAGTGTACTGAAAGTATTTGCTGAATCAAGCTGAACATGGATTTTGATTTCCCAATAGATCAACTCCCCTTTCCAAGGTCCCAGCTGGACTCTTCTGAGATCAACAGAATAATAATGATTTCCAGCACAAAAGAATTACTCAAATGCACAAATTTTAAATAATACAAAATTGGTCACTGTCATAAACATTTTATCTCACTTTAATCTATGTGAAATAGGTGACAGATAACTTCCACACAGACAGCAAGCATATAGACAGAAAGCACAGCTTCCTATGTACGTTGCCTCACACTTTAAAAATTGACGACCATGCTTAGAAACACATTTGCTGTCATTTGTGGCAACGTGTTAATGGCACAACAGGAAAGAAGCCCCCATGATGTAATTTGGGTGCTTAGAACATACGACTTTAAGGAAAAAGGTCACTTATTAATGGGCAATGGAAGATACGAGAGGGAAGGGCCCTGGTCTGGGTCTAGGTCTATGCAGAGACGCTGGACGAGGAGCCAGGAGAATCTAGACCTTATTCTAGCTTTTTCTTGTTCTTGCTACTTGTTTCAAGTGATGGGCCTTTGTTGTAATTGTTCTGAGCCAAGGAGTGGGAACAGACTCATAGTTGACCCTCTGGTGGGTTTTTAGAGGCAGTAAATCACATCAGAGGAGATTGCTATCACAAATTCTCTGAGCCTCACAGTTTCCTCACCTATCAAATGAGGGAATTAGAGAAGATGAACTCAAGATTTGTCCTGGAAAGAAAAAGACTATATTGTTTGAGTTACATCAAGCTGCAGTTAGAACCAGGCCACAGTCTCAACGGTTTGTGAAGTGTGACTTGCTGTCTTGAACCCTTCTTATAGCACGACCAGCAGGTTAAGAAGTAGTCATTTTTCAGAGAAAAGGTGGGGAAAGGGAGGGACAGCTGAAGAATCACTTCAGGTGTGAAGTTCTCACTGACAACAATGGTGACTAGTTTTTGAGCTGAGCCCACCACACACATGATCTCCTTTCAGCCACACAATACACCTGGTGTTATTCACCCCAGCTGCACAGGTGAGGAAACAGGCCTGGCCAAATCACTCACCTTGCCCAAGGTCATACAGTCAGACAGCAAAAGAGCCAAGATTCGTCCTTTGGCAGCTTTTGCCTTAGAAAATGAAATGCCTTGAGACTTACAAAGTAATAGATTATGGGTCAGGAAAGTGGGAAAATAATAATACACAGTAATCTAAACTCTGAAGAAAGATAAAGTTATGTTATCATAGTTTAGGTCATCAAGGTAGGTTGGTCATGGCAAGCAAGTTTCCCTTCAGGAAATGAAGAAACTTTATGATACAAATTCAAAGCAAAGCCCTACTTCCTGCTTAAAAAAAATTATTCATTAAAACACACACAAAAGCCACATTTATGGTTTCCTTGGTCTAAAATTGATACTAAATATACAAATAAATTATTCCTATGAAAACAGGGTAGGTAGGAGACATTTTGGTAGAGTCCCAAAGCACTTTATTTTGATTTCTATGAATCGAGTGCTTCCTCAAGTTCAGGAAAGTATTGGCATTTGAATTTGAGAAGCGAAGGATGAATCAAGAGTTGCAGTCATTTTGGCAACAATCCTGTGATGGGTTTCTGTGATGATTTTTCGTGGGAGGACTCTCAGGGCCAAACCTCCCTTCAGTTCCAACAGAGAGTGAGTGACCCACATAGAAAATGCTCTGGAAATGGCACCAGTTACATGGCTGGAGATTTTGAAACAGAGACAAGTTTTTCAACAAAGATAGTTAATGTTTCCCAACTATCTATGACCAAAAGAAATAGATGCTATTTAAAAGGATGATTCTGGTTTTTTCTTGCTTGAAGAAGTGCTTTTATTAATCTTTATAAAGATCTGTGCATGTAACAACTCGATTCATTGCCATCGAGTTGGAATTAACTCATAGCAAAGGCTATACATTTTCTGAGGCTGTAAATAGCCCTGGAGGAGTCGGGTGGCTGGTGCATTTGAACTACCACAGAGAACCCACCTTGGAGTCAGCCATCTCTAAGTAAGCAGTGCAAGCTCCGAGGCCACCCAAGCTTGTGTATATAACACGTGACATAGGAGTTTCTGGACTCCAACTAAAGTGGCGACAATGAGCCCTGGTGGTGCAGTGGTTAAGAACTTGGATGCAAACCTAAAGGTAGGCAATTTGAACACATCAGCTGCTCAGAGGAAGAAAGGTGTAGCAGCTTGTCCTGTAAAAAGTAGAGCCCTGAAACCCCAGACCAGGCAGTTCTACTCTGTCCTATAGCATCCACAGGATTCGACAGGATGGCAGGATATTTGGTTTTGCATTCCTAAATCTTTGGTGGCTTAGTGGCAAGGAACTGCACTACCAACCCAAAACCATGCTGTTTGAATCTACTAGCTGCTCGTAGGAATAAAGACAGACAATCTCCTCCCGTGTGATTTACTCCCTCCAAAAACCACCTGGAGGGTCAGCTATGAGTCTGTTCTCATTAGATGGCACAACAATGTACCAAAGACCCAAAATATGGTAAGGTCTTATTTTTAGCATAAAGACATCAATTATATGTTTCTTGTTCACTCCCAAGGTTTTTAGCATAGAATTTTGGATATCTGCAGAAAGGAATTCTTTGCATTGCATGGCTAACCCAAAGGCTGTGTATCCCTGGGGTTTCAATCCACCAGCTGTTCCAAGGGAGAAGGATGGGAGAAGTGTCCTCACATGTGGTTTATAGCCTTGGAGACCTGAAGGAGGAGCATTATGAGTTGAAACTGACTTGATAGCATTGATGAAGGAGTGACATTTTACACGTTGTATCTGAATCCTAACCAGGCCTGTGCCTTGAACATTGGTAACTTGGAGATGAACAAGAAAGAGGGGCTTTGGAAAACCTCCCTTTCCTTTCCCCGTACTAGGAGAAAAGACCCTAGATCCTTTTTTTCCTTTGACACTAATAGAAACACTTATCACATAGACCTGCAAGTGGCTTGCTGTGAACTGAATAAAGGACACAGGGCACTGCTTCTGACTTAAAGTCCTACATGCTAGAAATACTTGATTAAAGGTAAAGAAAGTTATTAACTGCAATTGGCCCAGAAATAAGTATTGCATGAGAGGATAAAGACCAATAGAAATGTGAGTCCATGCTTTCTTACATTAAAAACACACAAGTTTTGTTCAGGGCTTGTAGCTCGCTATTGGGAGGTATTTAAACAGACGCAAAAAACATACATAGTGAGGTGGTTTTCAGTAGGCCAGAAGCTGGTGGAAGCAGCCAAACTTACAGATTTTAGGATCCCGGTGGCATCTTCATGGAGCCAGGTAGGGTAGACAACTTCATCATTCAGAATGGCCTCAAAGAGGTCATCTTCATTCTCGGCCTCAAAGGGCGCATGCCCACAGAGCATCTCATAGAGCAGCACGCCCATGGCCCACCAGTCCACAGCAGGCCCGTAGAGCATTTCCTGCAGGATCTGTGCACAGTGGGCATCGTGAGAAATAGTGCATGCACCTGCTAGCAAATGGCAACTGCTATCCCTAACCACTAGGGCAAATGCTGGGCTAGGAAACACGAGAGCAAGAAAATGAAGCCTCCTTTGCTGGCACTGGTGTCTTGTCTCACCTTTATGGGGTGCCCTGTTTTCTGTGAGGTCAGTGCAGAAGCACCTTCTCATCTAGGTTGACCATGCCTTTATGGTTTGCTTGTCCAGGACAAAGTAAAAACATGTGATGCTTCAAAAGGTAAAGTGTTTAGGAACTATCAATGCCAATTTCTAAGAAAAAGTTTGCCCTTGGGTAGTGCAAATGGTCAACACCTTTGGCTGCTAAATGAAAAGTGACGGACTGAAGTCCACCCAGAGGTGCCTTGAAAGAAAGGCCTGGTGAGCGCAGGGCCACTTTTGAAAACCAGTCATTAAAAACTCCTAGAAAGAGCCAAGTCCTACTGAGACTTCCATGGGGCAATCATGAGTGGGTATGGATTTGACAGTAACTGGAACAGTGATAAAGAGGAGACTAAGCTCATTCAAATGGTAACATTCAAGACTCTTTCATTCTGTTAAAGAGAACTAGAGAAAAAGAAACAGCTGTGTGTGGAGTGACTTCGTCCTCATCCATGACTACAGCTATAGCAATTGCGGTTGAAAAAAAATGAACTCAAATTCCTAACTAGAAGTTCCTAGGACTTTTTTTCCCTTCTATTATTTATTAGTAAAAAAACCGCACCCCTCCCACCCTCTTGAAGAGAGGAAATATCCACAATGATTTATTATATTATCACCAAGAGATGCAGTAACTGTAGCTAACAATGGCTTGTACATATTGGAGATTGTGAGGATGGCAGTGGAGAGGGTCCTAGGCTGTTTCTAAGCCACCATTCAAACAATGAGCCATAAATGAGCTGGCCTGGAGGCTTTAGTTTTACTCAGGCCACAAAGTTTCAGAGCAGCAGTAGCCCCTGCTATTTAAGGTAGGAGAGGGTTTACCCTGGAGCTCGAATTTCAAAAGCAGCACCAAGTCATTGCACTCACCTCTGGAGCAATATAGTCGGGTGTGCCACAGAACGTTGCTGTGGTGACACCGTTACAGATCCCCTCCTTGCACATTCCGAAGTCTGCCAGTTTACAGTGGCCCTCATGGTCCAACAGGACGTTGTCCAGTTTCAGATCTCTGAAAGAAACAAACAGGAGCAAGTGATAAACCAGGAAGAACTGGCTCAAGGGAGGAGAATCAAACCCCTGCGTGTCTGGGGCAACTTTACACTGTGTCTGAGTGAGTTTTCCTTAAAAGAACTTGCTACAGATGTCAGTGACTGGTAGTCTTTACAGTTCAGGTTCTCCAGAGCTCCAGACTACCTGTGAAATAAATCTTAGGTCAAGTCTTAGAATTCACCTTGCAGTGCTTAGATAATATATATTATTATTGTATAATAATAATAATAAACATCCCAAACAAAAAAAAATCTAACCAAAAACCTCATTGCTGTGTAGTCAGAACCAACTCCTGCTTGACACTCTGGTGAGTTTTCAGCACAGGAGGATCCTGCTCTTCTTTTTCCTGCAGAGCAGCTGGTGGATTTGAACTTGTGATCTTTCTACCTGTTAGGCTACCTGAGCTCCCTATGCATATGAACAGGACAAGTTAACAATATATAAAGTGTTCACAATTTACAGAGTGCCCTTTAGAAATGGAGGGTAGAATATGAACAGGGTTTCTACTTATCTTGCACCTTTAGGGAAACCATCAGCCCCGTCCTCTGCCCTCCTACATTTTGGCACCTCTTTTTCTTTCTATGTACACCCCCACCCACATCCACATCCATATCCATCAACTCCTGTAACAATAAAAATCGTATAACGGGAGAACAAACCAAGAGCTGTGAGAAAAATACAAGCGGGAGCAATGAATTCCTTCTGGTTTGTGAAAGGCATAGTTTGCAACAAAAGCAGCACTTGAGATGAGCCTTAGAGCACAAGCAGAAGGGTGTGAGGAGACAGTCCTGGGTAGACAGACGGAGCAGCTGCTCAAGGGGGTCACTGACGTGTGGATACGCAGAGGGGGCTCTCGGAAGACCATGGGGTACAGTGAGGCTGAAGAGGGGAGCAACATGAGAATCAATGGAGGTCCAAAGATGAGGAAAATTAGATCTAACTGTGCAAAGTCCTGAATGCCAAATTAAGTAGTTTTGACATTTAGATACTAGATAGAGGGCCCCCTAAAGCACTCCAATAAAGAGAGATGAGATTTCTAGCTGAACAGAAAAGATGAGTTAAAAGCAACTAAAACAATGCAAGAAAGAGATGTTAAGATATAAAATAGGGTAAATGGGGAAAAAAAAAAAGGAAAGGAATGTAAAAGGCAGTGAGCAGGGCCTCGGACCAGCAAGAGGGGGCAGATGAGATGATTCCTGGGGTCCCGTCTTGCATTCAATGGGTCGGGGGTGGGGGGGTGGTTAACAACCAGGAAGATCACAAATAGTAATAAGGACAAGGTTTGCTGAGTTTGAAGGTACCAGGTACATAGGAGCCTCGTAGAACAGAAAAAGATGCTGGTGGATGCCGTAAAAAGGTACTTTCTACTCCTCCTAACGGCGGAATCTGCCTGAGGGAAGCAAGTTTTTAGTTGCAGATCTGTTTGGTAAGAAGCTCCAGCAGCTCCAGTGTAGGCAGCAACAGGGCCGGATAAACAATTGTGCAGAAACTTCCCACACAGTCTTGGGTTCCTCCTATGATTAAAGTCTTGCATGGCTGTGGTATGCTTGTTATAATAGACCGGTAGTGACCCATTACTAGTAACTCAATCTGCAGCTTACGTTAGGCTCTCTCTGCATGTTGCAGTCTCGTCCGTTTTAGCCTAAGACAAATACCATGATCCCATGTGCCCACTCGTCTCCTGCAGAAAAATTTTCCAGCTCCCCAAAAAGGCCTGTGCTCCACCTATGTGATCCTCCCCGACTCCTCCTGAACCCTGGTGACCACTGGTCTTTTCATTCTCTCTACAGTTTTGCCTTCTCCGGATCTCAAACAGTTGGAATCACAGCGTGCAACTTTTTTGGACTCGCGGCTTCTTTTGAGGGTTGATTTTTCTCAAGCTGAATAATTATTGCCTGAGATTTTTTCCCCCTCTGAATAATGCCCCATTGTATGATAGTCTAAAGTCTGTTTATTCATCCCTCTACTGGAAGATATTTTGATAGCTTCCAGTTCAGCGTGATTATAAATGATGCTTTGCTTTTTTAAGGAATTATGTGGTCAGAGGCAAACCTCAGTGGGAAGCTGGCTTCATGTCACATAGTGGGTGCAGGTGACTGCCTGGCCCAGAGAGCACAGTCAAGTTCATGTGTGTGGCTGCTGTGAACTTAGTCTCTTGCTTCTGCATGTTTGGGGAGGTGGGGTGGTAACGTCACAGTGGTGGGGCCCAGTGCTATCCTGGAGCTCAGGCCCATGGGGTTACGGTAGGCTCTGTTATCCTATCCTCCATCTGAGACTCAGAGATCTGTGGGCTGACTTGTCCGCAGGGGAGACTGGTGTCTGTCCAGCTCTGGGCCATGCTGTGGTCTCAGAGGAGGATGTGATGACAGGACGGACCTGAGTGGTTCCTACAGTGCTTGTGAGCTGATAGGCCCGGCAGCCCAGCGCTCACAGATACAGGTGGCCACTGGAACACAGCCAGGTATGCAAATGAAATCCTGTCTTCCAGGAATACCGATAAGTGTGGGTAAAGCAGCAGACTTTTCCTGGCACAGATCAAAGGGATCACAGAACAGACTTCCTCTCTGGTCCCCAGGAACAGGGAAGGGCAAATGCAATGCCAAGGTGTGCTGAGAAGCTGCATGGCCACTTCAGTAAAGTAGACCTTCTGTGCTGCTAGATCAAACCTGGCCTTGATCCCTAGACTAGCCTCCCAGCCCTTCTTATGCTCACAGTTTTTCTACTTGCCACACAAGGACTGTTTTCAGTGGTACCCACTATGGTGGAAACCATTTTCTAGCTGTATACACACAATAAAAAACCTTTTAAGAGCCACAATTGCAAGAGCACATGAGTGGTGAGGATGAGGGCAGCCGGGGCATGTGAAGAAGGCCTGGCCTGTAGGGGCCAGGCTATCTAGTTTATCTAGAAAGGTGGTCAGTATTTAGAGGCAGCTGTCTGAGGTTGGGGGCTAAGCTTGTGGCCCAGGAAGGAGCAAGCCTCCTTAAGCCATATCTGTGAACTCCACGAGTGGCCCTAGCCCACACTGACCTGAACCCTAGACACTCAAGACTTGCCCACATTTCCAAACAAGGTCATTGCGTTTACAAATTTTCCCGAAGCTGTTACGCCTGCTAAGGTTGAGGAAAAGATCTTCTTGGGGGGAAAAAAGACAAGTACTGACAGAAACCCACAAGGGTTGAATTCACTGACCTGCTGATTGCTTAAGAGAGTTGTGACTAAACACCCCAAGTTAGAGGTCTGACTGCTGGTGACTCAGCTACTGTCTTGGGGCGCAGGGATTGTTTGGAGAGAGAAAAGTGCTTTGTCATCAGTCTTGTAGGTCGTGGGTCACAATGCTCTCTGAAAAGAGGTCTGGGAGCACGGACTCGTCCTTCAGGACAGAGACCAGAGCAGTGCCGACAAGCTCTGTCCTGGTCACTGGGTGCGTTGGGCACCCAGGCAGGAGAGCCACCAGAGCCCTGACCTGCCAACCTAATTCTCATTACTGGATCAGACCTGGGGAGAATATTATTACTGCTTTTTTTCCCACTATGTAGTCCTAATAGAGCAAAACTCTCACAGTGGTGTCCCAAAGGGATTCTAATAGAAACATAGTATGATCAGGTTTTAGCTCAAATACTGAACAACTTTCCTTTGAAGTTGTTCCTAATGGCCCTTGCCATTAAGTCAATTTCAACTCATGATGATCCCATGTGTGTCAGAAGAGAATTGTACTTCATGCTATCTGCAGAAAGTTCAATGGCTGACTTTTTTTTTGTTTAAGAGCACCAGGACTTTTTCAGAGGCACCTCTGGGTGGACTTGAGCCTCCTTTTGAAAGGTTAGTATTTGAGCACTTTAATGGCTTGTTCCACCTAAGACCTCACCACAAACAGCACTGCTAACTCTGGAGCATGAGTTCATGCCTGAATGACAGCACACCTGGCACTCTACACCTGAAAGCATCTGTCTGTATGTCTGTCTGCTCCATTAGCAGAGGTTGGGCCTTACTCCTCTCTGGCTCCGGGTCAGGACTGGCAGAAGGTGCTGAGCAAGGAGATGATGAGAGCATTTCAGAAGGTAACAGCGGGGTCACACTAGGCAGTTCAGGGCCTGTTTTATTTAGAAGGAAGCAAATTCCATAAATCTCCCTGGGACCCTTTCTCCAAACTAATTAAATATAAAAATCATGTGGGGAATGAAGAGCCCTGAAAGGTCAAATTCTTGTCTTTAATGAGGATGTAGAAAATAAACTTACTTAGGAGGAGTAATTAGAAAGCAATGAGGACCCCAGCACAAAACTGTTCACTATGCCGGCTCATATTTACATGGAAGAGCAAGTTGGACTGTTGAGAGTCATGGTCAAATACAAAGCCTTTGGAGCACCAATGAGTATGAAGGCCTTCTCCTCCAAGGTAAATATCTACCTTTATTAACAAAAAGAGAGAAAGGGGGAGCAAATTTATAACAAGTACCCATACCTCCACTCCATGACTCCTGACTAAAATATAGAGAGTCAGGCTTTATTGGTTTTGGAGTTCTTCAGCCTCCTAAGCCAACATGTGACTCAGCAGCTGAACTTAACAAGGCCACACAATAAAGATTACAAGTTCATACAGGGCAGGGGCTCAGGTCCCAAAATGCCAGATACGTGATTATGGGTTCACCATTCATGAGCTCATTGAACACCAGCATTTAATAGCTATGCCTTTGTCAGGGAAGCTCAGAAGGGTAGAAAGAGTTGTTCTGTCATCTCTGATGGCCTGAAAGGCCCATTGTTCTTGTGGGTAATCAGGGTTACTTAAAATGCTCACAGTAGTTTCAGAGAGGATTCCCAAGTGGGTGAACACAAAGGAGATTCAGAAATGGAATTTATTTTGTTCTCACCATGTGCTGTTCTGAGAATAAAAAAAAACCAGGACGACATGAGTCTTAATGTTTAGAACACTAGAATCAGTTACTCCGCCAAAAGCAATCA